TAATACCATATTTCAATACAGATTCAAACTTAATAAAATAAACATTTCTTAATACAGGTAGGCTAACTGAGTCATGTAAGGATCTAATCAAATAAAGAGCCTTGTTGAGCTTTTGGCATAAGTATTGAGGTATTCTAGGTATTACATAGCTCTGACTCACTCATGACATGATCCTAATAATGGAACAGATGATGTAGTACAATTGCAAAAGGACATATTTAGAAAAAATATATGCTGTAAGTATTAGAGAACATTTACTGAACATTATTTTAAATATGAAATCCTGTTCTGCATGAGTTGAATCAAGCTGCTACGTACTGCATGAACTATTTAAGTAGTCCATTTGAACAACAATTATAGGGCATTCTTTATCACCTGATTGCAATTCTTGACACTGAGTGTGAGGTTTAAGATCTCCTTCGTTCCAGTCTGTCCTGCTGCACTGCTTCTCAGGGCTGTAGTTGTAAGGTGAATTGAACTTAACACAGTCAGTTTCCATGAATGCCTTACAAGGCGATACCTGTAACCAAGTGAGTGTCATTTTAACCAGAAGTAAAAAAAGACTAGTCCCTGAAGTTTTGGACAATATTTCCAACCATTCAGTTCAGAATTTTTTCATTTTCTTGCTTCCTATCTAAATACTTAAAGAATAAAATCAGGTTTTCATGTATCCCATTTCAAAGACAGTTGAATACATGGCATTTCTTACAAACAAACATTCTCAATACTATGGTACAGAAGCTAAATATCAATTCATACCTAGGATTACTACTGCCATTTGCATTCTCATAATAGAATAACATTTCAAGATTTGCAGTTCCCTTAGTGTCCGGTGCCCGAAGCCACATGGGTACAGTGTGAGACTGTCCTGGTGAAAGCTGAGCTGCCATGTTGTTGGGAAAAGAGATCTGTGTTACTTGATGTCCACCAGATCGCTGTGACGAGGTCCCTCCAAGTGAGAATAATTCTGGAGCTGTAGATGCCACATACAGTGCTGTTAATGCTGTGTTTCCAGTGTTCTTGAATTCCAGTGTTACATGTTGCAGCTCTCCACAAAGCATCTCAGAGCTGAGGTCCCTGAACATGATCTGAAACATGAAGAAAACCCTTACAATGTCTAAACTGTTAAAACTGATAAGAATAAATGCAAGGAGTACTATTTTCCATAGACTCACAAACCATACTTTGTTTGTTTATTGCATCTGTTATATCAGTTCCTCATTTTTAATCTATTATATATATTTTATAGGTGAGAAATATTTTAATATGCTGAATGGTAAAACTTGACAATTAAAAACAACAGTTTAACAATTTTCAGCCTGAAAATAATTTAATGAGGGGCTATGCTACAAGCCGGAAGGTCACAGGTTCAAGTCCTGACGAGGTGATTGGATTTTTTTCAGTTGACCTAATCCTTCCAGCCACACTAGGCCCTAGGGTTTACTCAGCCTCTAACAGAAATGAGTACCAGGAATTAATTAAATACTTGTCCTGGGGAGTAAAGCGCGGCCGGCGGGTAAGGCTGACTACCTTACTGCCATCTTTGAGCTGATTGTCTAGATAGTGTGGGACCTTCAACGTCTCACAACCCTATGGGCCTTCACAGCCTGGTATAGGAATAGCTTTACTTTTTTACTTTAATAATTCAGTTCCTATTTCACACTAAATGCATAGTGTCTCAGTTATAAAGAATAACTGGTTAATGCTGCTTAGGGTAATAACCATTTCTGTTACAACAAAGTCTCATGTTCATAATAATCTTCCCTATGATCTCTCTTAATATTAACCTCCATTCTATACTCAGGTCTCTGGCTAATATAATTTACCTGTAAGGAAGGTGCTGACTCAAAAACATTAATCTCCAGTCTCCTGTCATGCAGATCCTGAGATACTTTATCCTTCGTGGATTTTGGCCTTGGTCTCTTGACAGAAAATACTTGTTTTCCTGGAACTGATACTATGTTGGGCGTTGCATTTGAAGGCTCAGCACTTTGCTGTGCAGCTGGATTCGACATCTGGTAAGCAATCCCCAAGATGTGAAGTTCTCCTACCGATTTAGGTGTAATACACAATATCACCTACAAAAGAGGACAATGTAGGCTTCACTCAGAAATACAAAGAACTTCCAAAGGCACTGTTTGTAGATATTAAGCTTTTTCGTCTCAGCATACTATAATCTCCAAGCTGGTTACTAAATGCATGAACATCAGTCTGTTATCCTTTCAGTCTCATTATTTTCCATCTCATTTCTTAATACCTTGACACCATTTTATTGAAAATATATTATTGTCATAAAAAATTAATACATCCTCACTTTGTCACTCTGTATCAAGCCAAATGCTGGGTCAGAGATGAAGCCCCAAACTTAAGACTAAAGATATAACAACATGCCAACTGGTCAGGACTATTGCACAAATCAGAGGGTGTTGTCAGATGAGTATGGGGCAACCATGGAATGATGATTAGCAGGGGAAAACCAGAGAAAGTGGGAGAAGAGTCTCCTCCACAGCCATTTCATTCACCATGAACCTCATATGAAGTCACCCCAAGACAGAAAGCAAAGCTCTAAAGAAAATTAGGCTTCAATTATATTTAATAATGCCACAGTTTGAGTATCTCTCCATTCTTGAAAGAAATTTTGACACCTGCTGTTGGCTGTTGAGTCTATGACAACTCCAGCAGACTGCCTCTTCAGGACTCTTTTTTAGGGTCAACAGCACTGTTAAAACCTACTTAATTTCAACCTATTAGGCATCATTGTACCCAGTCCTATGACAATAATATGGAATTACATTATGGGAGATTGTGCGCTGGTAAATGACCACTGGGGAGACTTAGCATCAGGTGGACAGACCATGTGAGGAAACACACAATGAAACAACCATTTAATTATCCTTGATTTTAGGTTCCCTTTTTTATTGTTCAGGTTCAATAATCCAAAGTCAATAACCTCAATGTTATTTTTCATCCGTTTAAGCTTGTCCTCAAATTATTGATCAAATCTACTGCTCCCAAAAGAAACTTTAAATTGGGGGCTCAACGCAAACAAAACAGTAAGAAAACTGTAAATGCACATACATGAATGCTTAATGGAGGACACAGGATGATGACGACTCACCTTGGTGGAAACATCAACAAATTATGATTACCACTGAAGATTAGTCTTCTGGTATGCAAAATCATGTAGTTTGGTATAAACATCTTCCACACTGTGAAGTGTCACATTCCAGAATGCAGTATCCTAACAGTCATCGTGGTGAGAACCTCAAACCTAATTACCACTATCAGAGGGACATTCAATGTACATGTAATTCTACTACACGGTATTTCCACTTTTTATATTAATGTCAGAGGCATAACCAATTTCAGAATTCTTCGAGGGCTAACCTGCTGTACAAATCACTGCACCACCATGGTGGTCATCCATACAGATAAAAATAGTTACTGAAGCATAAACTCTGAACAACTATTCCTGGGAATGACAGTAGGCTGAGATGCCCAGAAAAAAATCCAAAAGACAACATATTAGTAGCCTTTGCCTCATTTCTGTACGTAGACGTGGTCAATTCAGTTTCCATAATTTTATGTATCTCAAATAGGGAGTAACAGTACACATTTATAATAGTACTTTATTTTTCATGGGTGCTACAGCCCTCCTTTGGGCCTAGGCCTACCTCCATGAAACTCTCTGTTTCACTTAGTTTACTAGATCTTAGATATATGGTAGGACTCCTTGGGCGGGTGATCAGCTTGTCACAAGGCCTCTACCTGTACACAAACACAGAAAAACGCACACAAACATCCATGCCCTGAGTGGGATTCGAACCCATGATCCTGGCTTCCTAGCGAACAAAGACAATGCATGCCTTAGACCGCTTGGCTACCGTGACTGGCTTATAATAGTATACATACTTCTTGAATACAATCTGGTTTGAGCATAACAGAGTTGAGATGCTGTGTCTGAATGGGACTCTCTGTTGTTTCTTGCATCATCTCATTACATATGAGCTGTGATGTGGCCCCACTACTTTTCTTGAAGCTCCACAACAGATAAACGTCATGCAGAGGTATTGAAATGTGTAAAGGGTTTTGCAGCATCACAGATACGGTCACAGGCTCTGTAATATCAAGAAGTACACAGAATCATGAGGACAAAGGAAGCCAAAAAATAAGCTGTCATATAACAAGCAGAATGACATGAAGATTAACTGTCTTCAGTTCAGTTCTATCTTCTGTGATATAACACCATGAAGTCCAGTGAAAGTCAACTGACATCTCAGAGGAACATTCCAACCCCATCTTCAGGGTCAAAGAATACATCAAGCAAGAAACCAGCATGAAGCAGGCTGTAAGCTCTGTGATATGTTGTGCTAAAGCATCGCTTGGCTTTCACTGAACTATACAGTGTTATATCACAGAAGACAGGACTGTAAAAACCTTAAAAACAACATGAACATTACTGCCATCTGGCATGTGATGCCACACAGTCTGATAGAAAGGTACTAACATTTTGAAGGAACCTGCTTCCTGCAGCTACTTTGAAGATGGAGCCAACATGTTCCCCTTAAACAATGGTATCTTTTTATGGAAGAGAAAAAATAAATTGTCATATAACAAGCAAAATGAGAGACATGAAGATTAACTGCCTTCAGGGATGTCACGTCTCATACAACAGCCATTTTCACAGTCACTGCCATGACAACCTCAAACCTCACAAAATGACAGCCATATACTGTAGTTCCTCATAATTCTGTATTGCATCATCCTGTAGTGTTATTAATACACAGAATGTGCATTATCATAACACATAAGACGACACAATAACAGTGACACCATTGTCTGCTATCATAATGTTTTAATCAAAATATCATTTTAACAAAACACAGAACTCTGTGGCCTTTGGTCTGGAAGCGAACTATACCAACTGAGCAACCAACGCTTGTCAGCAAAATTAGTGCCAACTTTTGTGCATAGAGGGTGTCGTGTGGTCAGCGCAACGGATTCCCACAGCCATTATTCTCGATTTTTTAGACCACAGCCACTACTTTTCCATTCAAGTAGCTCAATTATCCTCATGAGACTGGGTGGACCCTGTTCTAGACCCAGTACTTCACAGAAAATCTGGTAGCGCCAGAAATTGAACCCGGGACCTGTGGATCTGTAGCCAGGAATTCTGACCAACAGACCACAGACGTGGTCATATCATTTTAACAGTTCACTGAATATTATAAACCAGAGAACAATATTTTCACCTAATAACTTGCCCTCCTCAGGTTCACTATATTACATTATTTCTTTATGCAATTTGGCACACTACTGTTCATTTGAAGCTGTAGCAGTTTAACAGAGTTTTTCTGAAAGCCCTTGAATGATGAGCTCTGACTGCCTCAGACCTGTTGTGCAGCCCACTCTTTAAGAGTACCTCTTCTTCAACTGCTTTTAATCTTGAACCTACCAACAAATGGTGAGACATAACTGCTGATCTGGGACTGTGGAATGGCCTGTTCTATTCCTCTCTAACCAAGACATTTGTATCTTCTTTAATCTGAATTCCACTGTAACCAGGACCCCAGGAGAATTCAAAATAGATCATCACAGTTCTGAATAATTCAGCAGTTGAGTCTATGATTAAAAGGTTAAATTTAATATAAAATCATAAATCAATATCAGTTGTTTACTAACATTCTGTACTTTTAGCCATCAAGAGGATTTGGTTTCTCTCAACTGTCAGTTGTGAAGACATCTCAAACGATTCAACGAGCTCATTTCCTCACTCAACCATCATGCCAATATTTGCTCACTAACTAAATTTTGACTCACAATGGAGCATCATACCTCCCACAATTCCCGTAGGTCTTGCTGTGTTGTTTGTAGTATTAGAATACAGCTGAATTGTAGGTTTGAAGATCATTGGTAATGAACCTTGCACCTCGGCAACCAATAGTTCTTCCAATTTTGACCACCTGCAATTCAGAACAAACCACTGCTGGCAAGTGCATCTCAAATATAGTAAAACCTGTCTGACAAGGACCTGAATGAAATGGAAACATGCCTTTATCAGAAAGTTTACAGTGCCCATTATGATCTATGTGTTATTATTCAAGCATCATTTAAGTCTGATAAAAAGATATTTACGTGTCTGTCTTACCTGACATCAGTTTCACCTGCAATATCATCTGAAAACGTGATGCCTGTTGCAGGTACCACATTTGAGGTTCCATCTTGAAAATGCAGGGGTGGAAGTGAGCCTAATAAAATTCGGATAGCATTGCCATCAACTAATGGCAAGGGAAGAACAGGAAGAGCATTTCCTGAAGAACTTTCTTCAGCAATGAGTTGCTGAAACAACAAGTATAGCTCATAGTACTGAATACAAATTTCCACCCACACAGTTACTGTTTTACAGAAATCCTTGAACATCTTTCACAGTTGTACTACACAATTCTTACAGTTACTGTCTGTTATTCAAGAGAAGAGTACCATTTGCTACTGGTTTGGAGCAGGATGCACAAAGGCTTTGATATAAACATCTGACTATGTAACAGTGTTGTGCTTTAACTCACACAACACACAGATCTGTAGCTATAGTTCATCATCACTTATCAGTGATTCACTTCCTGATATACATCTGAGGACACTGCTCTTCTCCTGGGTAAAACACAGTATAAGAACTTCACTAAATAAACATTTCTTTGTGTTCAGTATTTGTCAGTGAAAAGAGAGAGGCGAAGAAGGGGAAGAGAAAGAGGGTGAGAGATAAATGGAAGAGGAAAGAGAAGAATTCAAAATGAATAATATTAAAATGATTTGGGGGAAGTACACTGAAAAAATGTAATCCATAACAAAACCAGGTCAAGGTTGGATAAAACTGTAAACTCTGTAATGATGGTGATAAATCTTCACAGCATAGAATTCTTAATTTAGCCAAAGAATAACTGGTCAGAAAAGACCTTGTATCAAGAAACTGGTCAAAAATTTGAAATTTTGCTTTTCACATTGGTAAGGATGGTGAATTAGGAAATTGAAAAATTTGGGGTAGAAGAGAGATAAAAAACTCTTTGAGTGCCTCCACACTTCCTTCTCTGTTTTGTTACTATGTGGCATGACTACAGAGAGTCAGACATGTAATACCATGGTTTGTGGTTTCTTTTTGATCCCACAGAAAGAAGGGTAATGCAAACAAAAGTAATCAGAATAATTTGCTCTTACTACATAATATTCTTCACGTTTGTATACATCCTGTAGCTTTCCATATACCAAAAATTGCCAGTTCTTCCTAACTGTATAAATGTTAAATAATATACACAAACAGCTGATAACGTTTAAGGTTGTTCATTTTGGCTTTGTCCACCTTCCTAGTTAAAATCCACATTTCAGAAATGGGCTCTATGTTCATCTCCAGGCAGGAAAGACGTGAAGAAATTGCTACTTGGCTGTGAACCAAGGTAGACCTACTCTCAAGCTCTGGAGCAGATCATACCTACACAGACCATGCCAAAATACCTGCTGCACTGTGAGGAATTCCCGAAGAAATGCTGCTTGCTGAGCAGCAGACTGTCGACTAGCAGGAGTCAGCAGACAAGCAAATGCTTTTGCTGCTTCTGATAACTGCTTCAAGTGTGCAGCCTGACGACCAATTGTAAAGTGTATGTGATCCTCTGCCAAACTCCAGTTCTTCTCTGCATACATCTGCAGAAAATTATGTGTTTTAGTTCTGCAGTTGTTGATGGAGAAAAACATGTCATTCAGATACATATTTACCAGTACTTACCTGACTGCTATAAAGTGGATTATGAATTTGATGTATCATCTATGCACAAACAGATATGTTATTTCTTTATCTTTAAAACCAAATTTGTTTAAAATATGAATTTCTTATAGTCTTTACTTTCTCATACATATACTCGTACATGTACTATATGTGTGTATGTACTGTGATCACGAAAAAAAAAATTATCTTGAAATTTTTATGGATGGACACATTTTCAGCCGCCCTTAATATAAATAAGTAGTTTTTGGAATGATATATGTCTGAATGTCTATCTGAATGTATGGATGAGCCCTCACCAGTGCTGAATAGTTGGACAGATTTTATACATAATCAGAATTTATGAGTTTATCAATCACAATCAGTGCCAGACAAATGTGAACATTCTAGCTCCAAAAACATGGGCCCCTCATATTAGTGCCCAGAAATAAAATGTCGATCTTTCTGGAAAACAGCTAAAACAATTAAAAATAAACTAAAAAAACTTATAGAGACCATCATCCTATATATGACACCACAGATGGTATCTTGAGGAAAAGTATGTGTGTTAGGTGTCCAAACATGAGATGTCAATGTCCTTGAGGAAAAAAATAGGGCTGTTGATTCTTGTACTGTATTTAAAACTTCTAGTTTCCATGAAATATTTATTTCATCCCTCAGACATACATGAAACAATTAAACAATAATTGCTGGGCAATGTGTACATGTCTGAGTTTGTATAATCAGTGACCAACAATGGTCTATTAAACAACAATTAAGCATGTTTGTACGTTAATACAGTCAGGGTCAATTGTATGTTAGAAAATACGCATGAATGCATTTGCATATTTTTTTAAGTCTGACATGGAATCTCTGAAAATAAAATACTGATATTGTTCTGTATACTAGGCAGAAAAGATATGTACATATGACAGATCCATTCCATAAATGATGATTCTGCTCACAAACTGCCTGGTAAAAGTCATGCTGACATATGAACTCAAGAGAGAGCCGAGTGGTGCACTCTTGTGGAAACACTAATGAACTTTTGGATTGCACAAAATACAAAGAATTTCTTCACCAGCTGAGCAACATTAGCTTCTTCATAATGACCCTGCTTCATGGTGGTAAATAATCAGCCTGCTATCAGGGTACAATTTTGATAAGATTTTACATGGAAATGTATGTGTGTGTGCTGAATTGCTAACATACATGCAAAGAGGAAGGAAGAAAGGGACAGTCTGTTTACCTGATAGGCCTGTTTGTAGCACCTGAGTGAGTGTTTCCGTTGCCCAGCTTTGGAGAAGCGATGTCCAGCAAGGACTATATGGAATGCATATTTACGCATCATGCGTGGTCTCGTTGCCTTTAAGAAGCAATATGATGCTTGTTCTAATAAAAGAGCACTACGAAGGTCTGAATCCTCGCTCGTCATACGAATGAACTGCTTTGCAGCCTCACCATAAAGGCTGCGACCTTTCAGACATTCAGTGCTCAACAGTGTTGCCCTTGTAGCAAACTGTGGCATCCTGAATGCAAACAAATTTGTATATAAAAACATTCTTAATTAATTAAGTATTGCTCTTATGTTAGAATATGTTATCAGAGAAGTACAGATGACCCATGAGGGACCAGAAGGAAATAGTGTAAATCACTTTCTAGTTCATACTAGTATGAATATAAACACTATAAAGGACTTTTTGAAAATCCAGTACTCAAAATGGTCTTGACAGTAAGACCTAAAAATTATAATTGAATGCAGGAAAGGAATCTTATAATGAACATTTCAGTCACATACTGCAATATACGGAGAAAGTAACAAACTGAAATTAAGTGACATAAGATGAGAATATGAAAAACAAAAATTTTGTTACTATGGCAATTCTCTCTATATTCAATTCAGTAACATTATGCAAAAGCATAACGTCCACCAAATAAACATAAATCTGTCATTGTCCTAAATTAATTAGGCACAACACCAAGAAGACATATGGAGAGTGGAGGTATACATCCATACAATCTCCACCTTGGCACTAGATGGAGGTAGTAGTCAGCTTCACACCTGGAAAAAGTCTCCAGGTCATCAGATTTTTCAACCGACCTAATTCTTCCAGCCGCACTATGGCCCTGGAATCGACTCAGCCTCTACTAGAAATGAGTACCAGGAATCTTCTTGGGGGGGGGGGGGGAAGGGCGGCCGGCGCGTANATCTGATAACCCTACAGGTACCCATGGCCTGTTACAGTGATAGTTTTACTTTGCTTTTGTACTTTCTACCCACTGTACAGGATGCTGGGAGTGGCATGCAGTAGTGTAGTTGGTTGAGGCACTATGTTACAAGCTGGAAGGTCATGGGTTCGACTATTGATGAGGTGGATTTTTCAATTTACCTAATCCTTCCAGCTGCACTACAGCCCTTGGGTTGACTCAACCTCTAACAAAAATGAGTACCAGGAATCTTCCTGGGGGGTAAAGGGCAGCTGATGCATAAGGCTGACAATATTACTGCTTATCTGTGACCTGACTGTCTAGAGAAAATGTGGGAACCTGGATGTCTCACAACCCTACAGGCCTTCATGGCCTGTTACAGGGGTAGCTTTACCTTTTCTACAGGATACTGGGTGAGCCCCAAAGCAAATCTGGACCCTATGCATTTGGGATGTGACATCATGCAGTCTGATAGATGGTTACCAGCATTTCAGAGGAAAAAACTGCCTCCATCTTCAGTTATACTATGAAGATGGACTGCATGGACCAGACTGCATGATGTCACAACCCACAACAGCAGAGCCAGAATATTCAGACCCGTTAGAACTTCAAATCCCAGTAACAAGTTCTGTAACTCTACTGTTACAAAACAGGCAAACAGGTAAAAACAACAATCACAACTGCAAACTGTAATGTTTCCAGGAAAACAACCTCTAACGACACAGATTTTGAACTAGCAGTTTAAAGTGAAATTACAAGATGTCAGAAACTACAGATTTATTTGTAGGATTTGAGGTTCTTACAGCAGTGGTTAAGGGCTATGTCTTCTGAGATATAACATCGTGAAGTCTGGTGTACGTCAGGCACCGCGGGCTCTATTTGCTTCTTCCAAAACATTGGTTTTCACTAAACTACATGGTGTTATATCCCAGAAAGGAGACGTCTACTGATTTATTTATCTCTCCAACATGTGCCACAGAACAAGAGAGGGGAAGGTTTAAATTCTATGAACAACTATTTACATGGTCACTGTGAATGTTCAACTGGTTTTAAATATCACTTCATCCAGTGCCCTCAACTTCTGAACAGTACCTTATTAGCAACTTACTTGCACGAGTTAAGATATGTGACAATCCCCTCATCCATGTATTCCTGTGCTTTCCGAGTCACCTCGCCTTGCATGAAAGCTGACAAAGCTGCCATTTCTAATGCACCAGCATAGTACAACCAAGCTTGATCAGCATTGAAGTCCCGCTTAGCCGAGTGATAAGCTTGGAATGCTAAGGAATAATGACCAAACATGAAGCATAGGTCACCAAGTCTTCTGAGTTGCAGTTCAGGAGCATCACTTGAGTAGCTGGGGGGAAAAAAGACAACTTTAAGTATAGACGATTGAACAGAAACTCACCCAACAGTAATTTCCAACAATCCACTTAAATGCATTACATAAACACGCCATAAGAACGAATATATGCATCCACTTATGTCACAGAGTTTTGGATGGATTCATTTTGAAATCTCATAAACTTCTACTACAGTTATATCTGACTGGAATCAGTGTCTCTGGGTATCTTCTTCAGAGAAGAAAAAATATAATAATTGATCTTGGACAGGCTTCTGTTTGCTTCCCCATTTTCCAGCAGTCCCCTTCAGATGGCTCCCATTTAAAGTTAACTATGGAAATTTCCTTTAGAGAAGATTCTACAAAAATTTATCTCTGGTAATCACCCAACAGGTGACTTTCTATTAAATTTCTATCTCTGACATGTATTCTCAGGTACACAAATGATCTTTAGTTGGATTTCTACTATTAAATAACTGAACAGCCCTATTTATTTATAAGTTAATTAATGATCTTAGGTCAACTACTGTCATGTGCAGGAGTGCGTGACTATAAGACAGGTTTTGGAATGGATGATTGACACCTTATACATTCAACTCGTAACTACAAGCAATTACAGTGCTATCGCTATTTCCACACTTCACAGTTTACTTTTACACACTCTAGTGTCCTCAGTCTATTACACTCTCCATTAGTCATTTCCCGGCAACGGATTCATAACAGTCTCACTCTCACTTCAAATCACATATGAAGTCTTCTTTGCACAGCCTAATTCCTTTCTTGCCATTATTCTGCCAAGTTCCTCAGTTCTCTGCTGCAACTGTCAACTCCGAAGACCATCTCAATTCTACCTAGCTGTGTGAGATCCTCATTATATAGCTTCAGGACGACCTCTACAGAAAATACTGCTCCCTCTATTGTTGCACGTTGATTCACAGCTGCAGAGATGTGTTTACGACATGGTTCCATAGCAATAATCACGGAGCAGACCACAGAAAGCACTGCTCTTCTATTGTTGCACACATTTGGTTCCGCAAGGATGTGTTTACCAAGCCAATGCCTAGCAGCGAACTAATCCAGCTTTCAGGCATCATGCCACATTATTTACCATTAAATTGTATGGCATGATAATGTGAACTTGAAGGCTAGGACAGGGAATGCTTATAGACTATTTCAAGGTACATTCATGGCATGCACCTGAATGGAATAATAATAATCACAAGAAACATGAATATTACTCACATTACTGCATTAAGTGGTGTATTGGAACCAGGCATACCAGGTTTATTGCTCCCAAACCAGCGTTTTGTAGCACTGAGAAATGACCTGCTAACACCCTTCTTGTTAGAAATCTGAAATGCAAATTATCATCATTATCATTTTTCCTATCGATGTCATAATCATCATCGAAGACATCTGTTTACTAGGTTATTTAATGGCACTCTGTCAACTATTTAAGTCATACAGTAAAATGGTGGGATGATTAAGTGAATGATAAACCAGGAATGAAGCAATAATCTCTGACACTTTACCTGAAGCAACTGAGGAAATCAGTAACAACTGTGAGCCAGGACAGCCAGCCTCAGGTTCAAGATTTGAATTCAAACATCATAAAAGGAAGCCAAGGTGCTAATCACTATACCAAAACATTTGGTGTTTTATTACTGTTACTACAACTGCGTTTAAGATGAGATATTTTAGGTGCAGTTTGCATTTCTGTGAGGATTGGACTAGTTACCTGTTGAGGAAAGTATGTGCCTCATCTATGAAATTTCTACTGAACTTGTGGTGTACTTCTCCCAAGTCATATATCAAAATCTTCATAAAAACATACACTGTAATTCTTGGTCTATTGACATTGGTTCTGTGGCAACTAAGAAAACAGTACATGAAATGAAGACTGCCAGAATTCTTTTGCAGATCACAGGGAAAACACATAAAATTTTTTGGTGAACAGCTGTAGGATTATATTGTCTTCATATTATTATTTTTAACTAAATTAACCCGTTGCCGTGGTTCGTCGTGTATGTTTCGTCAGGGATTTAAATCGTCTGGGGGGGTTCGACGTGTATGTTTCGTCCAGCTGCACACGTATGTTATAACGCCCATAATAATTGATGGTTTTGCTGTAGATTGTTAGATTTTTCACTGGCCTGTTGTCAGGAGGACTGTATTTAATGACACACGCGTTTAAGAGCGCTAAGTCGTCGTTACATATGCCTGTCTTGCAGCAACGTTCCTGTGGCTATTGCGAGCTGTTTCTGTTATGAATGATGTGTTTTGTTTGCTCTGAAGCTATAAACACCAGAGACTGATATGTGCTGGTGTTTATAATATCATATTGCCCTGAGCTGGCTATTCAATTGGAATTCTTAGAAGAGGGATGTACAAAAGTTTATGCCTGCAAAATCGATTGCTTTCGCACAGTACATAGCACCCATTTCTTAGAAAAACGCCACATTTTAAGGCAGAACACTGTGGTCACCCCCTGAGACGATACGGATGTGTGTGGGGGAGGGAAAAGAACTCATTCCTTCGCTCATTATCGCTCCAGTTGACTCCATTTTATCGTACTGACCTTGGTGGTCGTTTCGAGGGATGACCATAAATATTTTTTTGAGCCAGCTAAGCTCTACTTTCGTTCACTACATACCAGACAGTTCTTAGAATAACTTCATGAATTCTGTGGTCACCCCTACGACATCTCCTGCCGCCAAAATGGATGGAATATCAAAGGCATAGCAACAACCCCTTGTTATGATAACTCGTAACGTTGAATTTACTACAGCTGACCTGGCAACTAAACGGGTCACGGAAAGACATTTCCTTGAAGTATACCCCTCACGGGTAAGAAGGCAAGGCCGCACATATGTGTGGTTAAAAAAAAGGGCCAAAAAAAATACACAATATTGGAGCGGAGAATGGTGAACGTGGGGCACCGTTGGGTTATACGAATGCTTCAAGGCCTTCCTTCTACTAAACCAACTGCCTCCATTACCGAGATACAGGGCGCTCATATTATAAGGTAAGGTTATAAAACCACCATTTAAGATCATTTTAGTGAAAGTTTCATCCTTCAAGGCGTACCATTCACTGCTGAAATACTAAACAACCTGCTTCCATGGCCGAGATACAGGGCGCCCATATTATAAGGTAAGGTTATAAAACCACCATTTAAGATCATTTTAGTGAAAGTTTCATGTTCCTATCTCATAGAATTTAAGAACAATGATGAATAAATAATTTTCGAGCAAAATTTAAATGGCCGGCTGAATATATTACCGCAGGAGCCGCGGCCGCGGAATTTAAATTACCACGTCAAAGGGTTAAGAATGTCAACAGCCAGTAGCAGCTACTGTATTCTGCTTCATCATGTACATCAAACATAGTTTTGTGAATGGATAGCGTCAAACACAACTGCTTCACAGGTTTCTATACCAATCTGAATTACTGGCTTTTTGGGCTTTGTCCATCGTTCGGTATTCTAGAATCCAGAGATAACAATATTTCACAAAATGGACCGGCTTCCATCTGAGGTGAGAGGTGAGATGCCTACTCTGCTGGGTCCCGTAGAAAGAAGTAATGTCAGTCACTGGACAACCAACATCAGCATAACTACAGCTATATAAACACCTCAGACTAGGCTTTGTCAAAGGGATATAACAGGAAAATATGCAATAAAAATTGTGATAAAGCATACACAGCTAGAAGGGGGGGGGAATTTAATGCAAAAGTCAAAAAACCCCATAATTCTGAGTGTTATACATCATCGTCAGAACGCCTCAGACTCTACTTATATGTCAATGTTCATCTATTTTTAGCAGTGCAGCTCCCAGCCATATATTATTTTAAAAGGTTAGTACAAAATACAGCAAAAAGAAAAAAAAAACATGGAACATCCTGCATTTATAATACTATTGGCATAATTATTTATGATAAATTTATACTAAGTGTATGATAAACTAATTGTATCTATAAACAGGACCTGAAGATGGTATATATGCCAAAACATGACAGCAAATCCATCTGCTGGAAATAGCATTGTGTTGGCAAAGAATACAGTAAATATTATCTATCGTGATTTACACAACAAGATGCAACAGAACATGAAAAATATGAACATAATTCTTGCCATAAAATCTGTTTACTTCTACATAAATAACATTTGTGCATTTTATGAGATGAATCAGTAACTGCAACTATTTCAAAACATCACTGAAGCAAGATTTTAAATATACTTACAAGATCACTGAGTTGCTGAATCTGTTTTTCCACATGTGGTAACAAGGCTTTCACGCAGAATTCCTGAACAAGCATTCTCAGGCGGTCTAAATCACTCGCAGTAAGGTAGGTACCATGCCGTGTTGTAGTGGCAGCCTGACTCCCTTGTCCTACCCAGACATTGGCATTGATGTGATTTGCAGTAGGAATCACATCATTATTAGGAACATGGTTCTGTGAATATAAACATACGACAACTTTAAGGTCTCAAGGAAACAGTCTGAAGTATAAGAGACACACAGCAAAGTAACTTAAGTAAGAGTGATAATGAAGATTACTATCTGCTGGGATGTTTGGTAGATATGGACCAACATTTTCGAAGGATGAGTTGTCGTCATATTCAGAGCAGCAAATGGAGTAAGAATATTATTCCAAAATGTTGGGACCTATGTATCGAACTATATGGCATCATACTAATCTGTACAGTAATTTTCATAGCCTGCCAACATTCCACACACACTATGAAGCAGGCAGTGTCCTCCAACAGCTACCAACACACACATCTGTGCAACAAAAAATATGGTGGTCAATTTCAACATCCTTTATAATACACTCTAAAGTCTTTCAAGTTCCAAGCTCTTTCTTACACAAAATTAGTTATGAATATTTACACAGAATGGTTCTCATTTAAAGTTACCATTCTGTATTAGACAAATATGATCCAAATTAAACTGACATCTTTTAGTCTATACTCCCACATAAAGTTTTATCAAAGTCTATTAACCTTTCCTGTGTTGTATATGATATACTTTCCACTCAAGAGTTCCTCTTGCATATTGTTTCCAACATATTCTGTAAATGCCTTCCTCCTCTCCATGTGGCATCATCAATTTTCCATTCATACACAGTGCCTTTATTTTAGCTCTTGTGTAAACCTAAATGGAAGGACTAGCTCTTCTGGTGTACTGAATTGATACAGTGAACAGAAAAAATTAAATTTGGGCTGTAAGAATGAACAGAACTTAGGAACTTCTGTAATTTTTTGTGACATAGGAAGCGTTCAGTATAAGTAATATGGTATTAAGAACAAAACCATGGCCACACTGACAGACTGAACGACAGCCACATTCTCCACTGTATGAGTTCACTTTGTGCAGTTTATGAAAAGAATGCATTCACATCCAAAGCCTACTGAAGAAACCTAATGACTTGCTCACATATAGCTCCCTCCTGGTCCACAATTTCAACTGCACAATTACACAAAAGTGAACAAAAGGATGAGACAGACTGATGAATTCACAAGAGTGTGGAAGGTAGTAGTTGTGACTTATTTTTAAGGTACACATCTGCTTGAAGGAAGCAAAGAAAACCATAAAAAATCTCAGAACATAAAAAAAATATCTGGAGGAGAATTGAACATCACAGATCATTCTGTTCTGACACTAAGAGTTTGGAGCTTGAAATTTGTTTCAATAATACATACAAGTTCAGATCCTACATCACAATAAAAACACACCGTCTCTCTCTCTCTTACAAGCACCAATCAGTTAAAGCAGTTCAGGGTTATAACTGACGTTCATTCTGAGAGTCATATGAAACCCATGAATGTATTCTGTGGGTAAAATGCAAACTTTTTTAAATGTTATATCAGGTGGTACATATGATAATTACTCTACTTCAGTAGGTTCCATCTTATCTCTTCTTTAACATTCCAGTATTATTAACCTTTAAACGACTAAAGACCCCATACGGGGTCGCAGAAATAAAGTCAGCGGTATGAATGGCCCCATATGGGGTCGCACAGTCCGCGCGTGCGGACGTTATTTGAAATATATTTTTAAGGTAGAAAATAATGTCCTACTTATATAATTTTTGGCCACCATCTGCATGGAGTGTCTGTCTTCCCACCTGCGTCATCTGCCAGAATGTTCCCTTCGTGTGGAATTCTAAAAAAAATCCGGAAATGCAGAGTCCGATTTCGCACTTCACGCACATTGTGCGGACGGTCTTTCGTTTCCCACGCGAAAAGCACACATGACACCTCAATTGCGAAGTAGAGGAAGTCGGCCAGTGATGTGGTTTGGCCTTCTATAATCGAGATATCTCCGATAAAACGGCAGGGGTTCGACTCCTGGTCGCACAGTCCGCGCGTGCTAACTTTACATAAAATACAATTTTAACGTAAAAAATGAAGTTGTACTTATATAATTTGTGGCCACCATCTGCATGGAGTGTCTGTCTTCCCACCTGCATCATCTGCCGGAATGTTGCCTTCGTGTGGAATTCTCAAAAAAATCCGGAAATGCAGAGTCCGATTTCGCACTTCACGCACATTGTGCGGACGGTCTTTCGTTTCCCACGAGAAAAGCACACATGACACCTCAATTGCGAAGTAGAGGAAGTCGCCCAGTGATGTGGTTTGGCCTTCTATAATCGAGATATCACAGATAAAACGGCAGGGGTTCGACCCCTGGCCGTTGATGGCGAGGTGGACCCCTTCCAGCATGTTCCGCACAAGAGCGAGACGAAATTCTCTGTGTGACAACAGGATGTAACTGTTCAGATCAAGGAGATGGAAAAATAGCTTATTTGTCCATTTCCAGGTTCGACGACAGATGCTATAACTGTTTGCCACAGTTTGCCCACAGCTCCACCTGAATAATTATTCACACTCCTCGTGCCACGCTGGTGTGGTGGTCCCCAGGTTGCCGAGTAAATGATGGGTCTCGTTCGAAATAACTTTCTGATTTGCTACCTTCAACATTCAACATCACTCTCAGAATTGTCGGTACAGCCATCTGTAGCGAGTCGTTGATGGCTTGAAATATGCTAGAACATTCCACACGACACGACGATCAAACTTTGAAGTCGTCCGAATGAAAACTTCCAGGAAGGAAGCTCTAGAAGCATTATTATCGCTCTGTTTATACGGCAACGCAATTTCACAAACAAAGCTACCCTTGAACTGTGAACAGTAATCTTACTGTGTAGCAGTGCGCGATATACAACACTGAGTTTAGTATTTCAATTGCCGACTCTCTTCATTCCTAAAGCACGACGTCATATTACAACGGTAAACTAAACACGCTATCTCTACAGCGTTGCCATAGCTCTGCCAAGTGATTTCACCCCCCATCCTGCATTCTAACGTACAGAGAACTTATGAATTCTTGTAGTGAAATTAAAAAAATTGGGAATTTCTTATTTGGAGCCAGTGTAAAAATCTTAACATGTTTTATACAATCTGTAAATTACAATATCTGATTCTATATTCTTTCGAGAAAAAAACAGCGTTTATTTCGTTCGTTTATCACAGAAATTGCAGAAATAGGAGCAAATTTAGTAGATGATTACAGTTTTTATGGCTTTATAATCGCGGGTATTTAAATTAATTCCGTACCGCTGCCCTTACGGGAATTTAAATGCCCGTAGGATAAAGGTTAAGAAGAAATATCTCTCTGTTGTGGATCAGCCACCGTTTACCCAAGAATCCTGACATCCTTATACATATTGTGACGTGACGGCCAACAGCTGAACAGAGGAATGAGTAGAGGCGGAAACTGCTAGGCAGTGACACATTCAACATGTTTCTGCGGCAACAGACGACACTGCATCCTCTACTGTTGCGCGACAATTTTGTTATACAATTCACTTGAAGAGATCATACCTTATCTGAATTGGCAAGAATAAAGTTTTGTGACTCTGCATCAGGGCTGAGGGGATGATGTGTGACAGTGATGGGGGTTGTACTCTCTCCGGCCTCCTGTGCCATCTCTAATGCTGACATCACCACTGACCCAACACCTGGCCTCAGTAGGTTACTCACATCCATGGTTTCACTGTCACAGCTCCCATCTGTGGTGACACGGCTTGGCATTCCGGTCACACCCCCAATCTCAGCTGGCGTACGAGGACTGCTGCCCTGATCACTTGCCTCCTATAAATTACAAGCAACTTACAATGAAAGAAAGTTTGTAATAGTCTACATTCCAAAAAGTTAAGGTAGGCTCATGATATCATTATGCCCGTTTGTGTATATTCTCTAATAATCTTCGAATTAAATGACAGATTTTCATCAAACCTGGTATGAATATAAGGCTACTGGAACCTTTGCACCAATGCAGAAGTTGTGCATATTTCTAAGGTGGAAGTGACATTAGTGTCATTTAATGAAGGGTCCCATAATAATGGACCTGAAAAATTCAAGGAGATATTCTTTGCAAACATAAAACAACTTGGCAACAGTGTGATTTCTAAACATGTACCTGTTTGATAATATCAATGATACAAAATTACAGTGAAGCACATAAGGTTAGTTATAGAGCCAAATCATAAACATACAGAAATTCTCAATGTCAACAACTACTGCATAATATTTTAACAAAATTCTGAACATCCAAAAGATTTGTTAGGTTAATTAAAATATATATTCACACTGTATCTTTCTGTAGGCTATATATTCTTGAATGACAGGGTGACAGATGAATTGGAAAGGATTTGGAAGGAAACAGTCATGGCCTAATCAAAGTACTATCTGAGCATTTGCCTGAAGGGATTGAGGTAAACCATGAATATCTCACATCAAGATATGTAGAGTTCCACCCAAGCTTCAAAGTGGGAACCTCCTCAACACAAGTCTAGAGTGCTACTGGTACACCACTCTGTTTGGTCAAGGAGTGGCTGAGATTTTCTCTTTGTAAGAGACCCAAATTAATAAGTGCCTGTACACCCTCTCACCTGATGATGTAAACATCGTTCTATTTGCAATACCAGACAATAGAAAAAGTCAAGAAACCCAGCAATCCCAAGTGTAACCTGCTTCTTCGCTGAGGCCTCTAATAACACTGGATCATCAGAATTATTATTAATTTTATCATCAAATAAAATCATCAATTCACACTTTTGGAATAACACTCATATAAAAATTCAACTTGTAATGCTTTCTGACTTTTTGCCTCTACTAGGGCACAGAAACTAACCTTTTCAAACTGTCATCTGTACCTGGCTATCAAGCTGACGGATAAGGAACTGACTCCATGGATCTGGGAGATGGCTCTGGTCTTCATTCTGGCCGGGTGGGCGAGAGTTCATTTGAAGGAAGAAGCAATTGCTGTCTCCATAAGTCTGTTTCATAGCACTGAATGTTGTTTCAGCTTTATTATCATCCCCATCCACTGCATCATGCACTAGGACATAATATCGCAGAACACATGGACCAAACCATTTTGGCAATTTTGCTGGCGTTATAGTTTGTAGCTGCTGTAGCTCCAGGCTCATATGTTGAAGAGTTTCTGCAGGATTATTTTCCGCAGATGATATTACTAGAATACCTGAACATTGTGTGTTAAGGAAAGATAAAACTACATGGACTTAATACATACACAGCCTGTTTAATTAAAGTATACCTATAAACTATTACAACAATTACTACAATTGTAGTAAGTGTTAAGAAACCTTCAATAAGTAACCATGCATTAAGTTATTATTATTGTTATTATTATTATTAATCTTCATCGTACAAAACAATTTGAAGATACTTCCAGCAACGTCTCCCTTTTGAACTGGATTCATTTAATGACATGATGGCAGACAGGAATATTCATTTACCTCATCACACCCCCTCCCCCACAGCAGGGATGAAATATATTTATGAGCACACATAACAGAACTTCAATATATTTTCTTACATATGAGACAGTCTAAAAAGTTGTGAGCTTTTCCTGAGTGAGTCTGTCAGTCATCAAGCTGTGTTTTACTATACTCCAAGTTGAAATAAACCTTTCTGTTCTTATTTCTTAAAAGTTTTCTATACTCATTCAAGAAACAACACTGACCTCCTATAAACACCCAGAGGCCTAATGTAATGGTCTGAAATGTATACTGTGTGCTTCTCCAGGAAAGAACCTTGTACTATGAGACACACATCTGCATTTGTTAGAGAAGTCAAAAGCGAAATTTAAATTAATTAATATTATTCCTTTAATACTTAATCAATCATATCAAAGTATTGATAATGAACAGAATAATGTAGTACAAAACCTATATCCAAATAAAAATTGTGACAAAGGATACAACCTATATAATGTTTTGTAAATTCATGATCTGAAGGAAATTGTACCTGAAGGAATGTCTCCCTCCAGGCTTCAAACCAAGGGACTGATGCTGGTATATCGACAGTCTGACCACCTAAAAATTACATTTAAATATTAATAAATTATCATCTTTTCCACGAACTTAGAGCATTGGACATTAAATGATTAATACTATAATTAATCAGTATTGTTTATGTGACAAACCAATTTGTAGGCTGGTATTTCTTTCATTTGCTGACAGGCTAACAGATTCATTTAAGAACTTTCTTGCAAGTGTTGGCTGTGGTGGTCGAGAACTGACATCCAACATAGTAACACGCAAGTTCCTAACAGCCACTGACGTCCCAGACGGTTCACGAAAATGAGCTATAACAAAAACAATATGCTTACTAAATGTAAACAATGGAAACAATTAGGGTTATGTTCGGCATTTGATACTTTTAAAACCAACCTTCTGTGTTAAGTTTGCAAAATGGTTGTATCATTTCAACAAAAGAAAGGTTATTTTTTTGACACGTTAGATCCACCAGCTGGCTACACATAACAGCTACCATCGGTGAAAAAGCATTTTGTATAAATTCGTGGGGTGTCAACTTGCACTGAGCCATGATGATGAAGATTTTTCTTAAATCTAGGCCCTTTGATACACAGCAGTTACCAAAACGAGAACTGACGAAATACACAGTATGGATTATCTTCAATGACAACCCACTATTGACTGAAGACGTTAATCAGTAACCCATTTCATTTTACGATCACCTCTCACTCCACCACCACAAACTTGCCGCCATGTTTACCATACAGCTGTTGTCGTTTCATGAAATTGTGTAGAACTGCAGTTGTACAATCAAAAATAATTTGGTATAAATATATTCTTTATTATATGTTATTATAATATGTCATTTTATAAACCGCTAAGGTATGGAATTAATTTATTTTCCCTGATAATTTGAACATGATGTGGAAGTTATGTAAGGTAGGTTAGGTTACATTAAACGTCGTTGGTGCATTCTGTAAACGAACTAATGTTTGTTGAACCGTTCTTTTACGCATTTTTAGGTGTTTTAAGTAGCATTACATGATTTCTGACACATGGATTTTAAGTATTTTTTATGACAAGTAACCTAAGCAGACATTTAGTTGTAATGGTAGGAAGTAATGGGAGGTAATTTGGATTTCAAGAGCAGTAAATGTAGATTATGTGGATCACTTACAAAAGTCATGAATTTATGGTAAACCATTGCTTGGACCATTAATGTATCATGAACGTGAAGTTCTAATGAGTACGTTAATCCTGCAGTTGGTGTGATATTTAGAACCTGGCCAGTTTCACTGTTAAGTTCTTCTAGGATGTGACGACATGTAGTGTTGTAGATGGGCACCAGCCTTAATGAAGAACCCGCTGCCTATATCATCAGGTTACTCATCTTTCAAACTACATGGCTTCACATCCCAGAATGAATTATGTATCCTGAATATGGAGACAGCAGGTTTGTCCACAATGTTTGGTACCCATCTACTGAACACAGTGTCACACCTCAGAAGACCAAAATCTTGATACTTAATTGATGTGAGAAACTGAAATCTCATATGCCAACTTCATAGTTAGTTACCACGTTTTATTTAAACAATGAAAGTTGTAAATTATTAAAAGAGCAATTGCTTTCTTGTATTCTTAATCAGTCTTAAGTTACAATGATTTGTACACTGTACTGAATACTATATGGTTAGATAGGTTAATAATAAAGTATAGGAGTAAAATCTTATTTTATTGATGGTTGGGGGGGGGAAGGGGTTAAATAGGTCATGCTCATGGATCAGGTCTCTGATGATTCTGCAAAAATGGCTGGAGTATTTGCTTTCTTGTATTCTTAATTAGTCTTAAGTTACAATGATTTGTACACTGTACTGAATACTATATGGTTAGATAGGTTAATAATAAAGTATAAGAGTAAAATCTTATTTTATTAATGGTTGGGGGAAAGGGGTTACATAGGTCACGCTCGTGGATCAGGTCTCTGATGATTCTGCAAAAATGGCTGCATTATTTGGAGCTCATTATCCTCTGGCAGTTTCAATTCCAAATATGAATCTGTAATGTACTGGTTGTTGTACATTATTTTTAGACATGAAAGTTGATGTTGCTTCATCCACAAGACTTTGTGGGGGGGGGATATGGTTTGCAATTATAGAAAATCAACTGAGGAAATAGTGGTTTATCGTTTGTGTATAATTATGAAAATGATAAGTTAGAAGATATGCCAAATTACTTTTTGAAGAGAGTACACTTAAAAATCTCTTCTATTATGTCATTTAGATTTTATGTTTAATCAGTTATGATACAGATTGAACATAATTTTATTTTTTATCTAAACAGATCAATTGTACGGTGGTTAAGCAAAACGATAATGGCTGACAATATTTCAGTGAAAAAAATTCGGCCATTTACCGTTTTTGTAGAAGGCAATATTGGTAGTGGGAAGACCACTTTCTTGAATCATTTTGCAAATGCTGATGTTCAGTTACTGTCAGAACCTGTGGAAATGTGGAGAAATGTAGAAGGCCACAATTTACTTGTAAGTAGGTTTTTACTCTTAAATTATGTTTTAACTTTTTACAAGAATATAGTTATTTTCAGCGTGCATCAAACGCTTGTTTGTGTTGTCTTCTAGGACATAACACACTGCCTGTTTCATGCTGATTTCTTGCTTGTCTGACTCTTCAACTCTTGAGATGCAGGTGATGCGTTCATCCAAAAGATCAGATGACTTAACACGAATCCTTCTTGAACTTAAAAACTTGTATTCAGAGTTGATAGTTGATACTTTGAAAGAATATTTTATAACACAGTCTCAAGCCATGGGACTCTAAAATAGACAACATAATGGAATCCAGTGTTTACTTGTTTGGAATTCATTTTGTATTTTAGTCTGATAAAACATACAGTTAATGACAAGTGATGTTTTCATTTACGATGTTTGTAGTAAAGCAAGCACTGGACCTTTTAAAGCTTGTTTTATTTTCCCCAGGGTTTAATGTATGAGAATCCATCTCGCTGGGGCTTAACATTTCAAACATATGTTCAGTTAACAATGGTCGATCTACATACACGCCCAGCAGCTTATCCTGTGAAGATGATGGAACGCTCGATATACAGTGCCAGGTAAAATGTTTGGAGGGACCTTAATTAGATGCAGGGTGAATAATACAGCTCTATCCTATTAGAAGCAGAAAGTTTGGCATTGAAAAAATTCATGCTGTGCATATGTGTAGGAGAATGGAAATACAGCTCCACCATTCTTAACTTTAACACTAGATGGAAGTGAGTGATGTGTTTCATCCCCCCCCCCCCTCTTTCCTGGGAAACAGCTAGTTGGTATAGTGACTAAGCTATGGGGCTGAATGACCAAGGAGTCAGGGTTTGATTCCTGGTAGGGGCAAGAGATTTTTCTCTTCTCCATAACATCCAGACCAGCTCTGTGGCCCACTTGGCCTCCTGTATGATATTATGCTTCATTTAACTTCTACCTGCTAGTATTCAATATTTTCACATGATACATCATCAGCAGATACAGTGAGAATTGAAGTATGCTTATGTGTGACTATTGCATATAAGCTGGACTGTCAGTAATATGTCTTTATCTTATGGTGTTTTTTTATAGGTATTGTTTTGTAGAGAATTTAGTTCAGGAAGGACTGATGCCTACTTGTGAGTATGTTGTTTTGGATGAGTGGTTTAAATGGATCACATCTCATTTAGATACTGGCGGAGATCTTATAGGTAAATATGAGTATCTAGGAAACTCAAGAAAATAATAAATAATTTGGCTACAGGAGGCTTTTACTTTTATCGTGTGTATTGTGTTCCTCAGTTTACTTGCGCACTAGTCCAGAAGTGGTATTTGAACGTATGAAAGTACGTGCACGGAAAGAAGAGACACACGTATCACTTCAGTATCTAACAAAACTCCATGAACTACATGAGGACTGGCTTTTCAATCGGACAAAATTCAGTTGTCCAGCCCCTGTAAGTTCATATTCTGTAATTATTCTCATTACTTGTAATTGTCTCTTCAGATGATCTTTATATCCAGTTGATGTAGCCACTAGTTTCATCAGTATTTCCACAAAAGTCAAAATGTTATCTGTAAAGGATGTATAACACATGTCTACAATGTTTGTTCCATTATTTTATATCAGGTGATCACATTGGATGCCAACCGTGACATTAATGAAATGGAAGAGGAATTCCGCAAATGTGAACCAAAGATTCTTTTCCAACAGCAGAACTAAAAACAGGAAGATTGAACACCTTCTGTCACCTCTATTGGTGGTCATGCCATATAAGTAAATATGGTTAAAGAATGGCAGATAGAGACCATTTCCAAACTTCAAAAAGGAAAATAAAAGTTATTGTTTTTTATTGAGTTCTAAAGATGCATTTTGATTATGTTATTATTATTATTATTTTGAAATAATCATATAGAACAACAGCTCTGTTTACTGAAAACTTATGATTGTGGCTTAAAACTGTGTTCTCCTGAGTTATAAAGTAGAATTTATTCCTTGTTAAAATGATCTCTTAAGTGACCTTAAGTTTCAATATCAGTGCTAAATTGTGGAAAAGTTACCTATATTTCTATAGTAAAGGGATTATGATGTTCCAGAAAAAGAAACATAATCTTAGATTAGACATGAAATTCCCATATTGGATATTAAAATTACTGATACCATGAAGTCTGGTACAGGGTCAAAAATCGCAGGGCAACCACTATAATAGAATAAGATATTTATAAGACTGCTACAGAGGGCTGGATGGGCATTGCCTAGGCATTCTTTGTATACACATTTATTTTACAAAATAAAGAAGATAAAAAAGCAGACACAGCAACACAAAACATTGACAATCACTACACACACAGCCAGAATAACTCAACAAGTGATACCAACACACCACTGGAAAAGAAACAATAGAACATTAACACTTAATATATAATACATTCCTGCAAAAAAAAAATATTAACACAATTATTATGTTATAGATACCATATGAAATCAGCAATGTGAACTGCTGGCAATCAGCAGGTACCAGCATTTTATGGATTTTAGATGATTTTTATTGAAAGTAACAACACATTCCACATGCGACTATACTGAAGTGACAGTAAACAATTTTAACCCGTTGCCGTGGTTCGTCGTGTATGTTTCGTCAGGGATTTAAATCGTCTGGGGGGGTTCGACGTGTATGTTTCGTTCAGCTGCACACCTATGTTATAACGCCCATAATAATTGATGGTTTTGCTGTAGATTGTTAGATTTTTCGCTGGCCTGTTGTCAGTAGAACAGAGTATAAATAAGACACGACTTTATCTGCGCCAAGTCATCGTTACATATGCCTGTCTTGCAGCAAAGTTCCTGTGGTTCTGGCGAGCGGTTTCTAGCTGTACTGTTATGAAAGCGTGTTTTCTTTGCTTTGAAGATATAAACAGAAGAGACGTGATGTTTACTGTTGTATATGATATCATATTGCCCTGAGCTGGCCACATTGACACACTCAACTGGAATTCTTAGAATAGGGTTGTCCAGAAATTTATTCTCGCATGATCCATTGATTTCGCACAGTACAAAGGCCCAGTTCTGAGAAAAACGCCACAATTTAAGGCAGAACACTGTGGTCACCCCCTGAGACGATACGGATGTGTGTGGGGGAGGGAAAAGTACTCATTATCGCTCCAGTTGACGCCATTTTATCGTACTGACCTTGGTGGTCGTTTCGAGGGATGACCATAACTATTTTTTTTGAGCCAGCTAAGCTCTGCTTTCTTCCTCTATATACCAGCCAGTTCTTATAATAAATTCATGAATTCTGTGGTCACCCCTACGACATCTGGGGAGCCGAAAAGGTTGGAATCTGAAACGCAGAAGCACCAAACCCTTCTTATGATAACACAAAGGTTGAATTTACTGCAGCTAATCTGTCAAAATATACGACTCACGGAGGGACATTTCCACTTGTATTCCCCCCACGGGGAAGAAGGCAGGGCCGCACAGAAGTGTGGTTAGAAAAAAAAAGCAAAAGTAAAGATACGCAGTATTGGTTTGGTGAATATGAGCCAGCACTGTGTTTAGACTAATGCTTCAAGGCGTCACCTGCTTACATAGCCGAGATACCGGGTGCTCATATTATAAGGCAAGGTTATAAAACCATCTTTTAAGATCATTTTAGTGAAAGTTTCATCCTTCAAAGCGTACCATTCACTGCTCAAATACTAAACAACCTGCTTCCATTGAAGATATAAAGGGGGTTCATATTATAAGGTAAGGTTATAAAACCACCTTTTAAGATCATTTTAGTGAAAGTTTCATGTTCCTATCTCATAGAATTTAAGAACAATGATGAATAAATAATTTTCGAGCAAAATTTAAATGGCCAGCTGAATATATTACCGCAGGAGCCGCGGCCGCGGAATTTAAATGACCACGTCAAAGGGTTAAGCAGAGAAACTATGCCCGATGATGGCCATGTGAGACCAAAACATGTTGTACAAGAGTGTATGTAGGACAGAATGCAAGAATAAAAATGTTGCAAACACTTGTCCATTGGAGATCAACACTAATGCAAAAGGATTCTGAAACACAATAATATAAACATTTTTGACCGTTCTCTGTATAACATATGGTCTTAGTGATATGCAGTGCCAGCTGGAGTTTATTTCCTTTCCGCACTGGTTAATTACACATGAAAGTCAATAATATTAGTTGAAAGAACAAAGTTAAATGAAAATATCTTCAAGATCCATGCTACAGCACTGTGTTGGTAAACCTGGAGATGGTGCACCAAGATCCTTCCAAACATCAGAATCATTTTCTTGCTTCCTGTAATTTGGATATCCAAGCAATGACTTTCATGTAGTTACGATATAAAACTGTTCAAAAATGAGTCATACAAGGTTGATAGTTTGTCTTGGAGGGAGAAACCTTGACAGATGTAACACATAACTAATCAACAAAGAAAACTGTTATGTATCCACTATACCAGCAGTTACACTGTGATGACACCACCACCTGAATTGTATAAACATCTCAAAGGCATCATAATAATGTATCATTTCACTTAACCTTTATTGTCCAGAAATAGGGAATTACAAAACCAATAGTACTACATGGCTAACAGGCAAATTTGAACTTGGGACTAACGGTGTAAATTACAATGCAGGTCAACAAAGGTTAATGTAAACATATTAAAGAGAATGTATATTTAAACAGGATTAATACATATATACTGAAAATATTCTTCATTATAACTATTGATAACATGTAATAAAAACTGAGTTTCTGTTCTCTGAACACGAACTCCTCTTTGACAAAACAGGCATTTATAAACAGGATTAATACATATATACTGAAAATATTCTTCATTGTAACTATTGATAACATGTAATAAAAACTGAGTTTCTGTTCTCTGAACACAAACTCCTCTTTCACAAAACAGGCATTAAAACTTAAAAAGTATATATATTTCGATTCCTAAAATATATGGTACAAATAAAACAGAAGTTTGAGAGTTCTGGAGCACCCAAAATTAGCAATAGAAAGAGGCATGACTTTTCTGGTGGTAATGTTGAAAGTATCAATATCTTTCAAAGTATAACCAAGTCCATATTTGTTGCATTCTACTTTCTCTCCTTCTTATGAAATAACTTGGTGTTGGTGAAATGTTGGTTGCTCACTACTATTTTTTTAACCCGTTCAATGTTAATGAAAATCCAATGCTTTCCCCCCCCAGAAAAGAAACTACTGGTACTCATTTATGAGCAGGGTGACATTTTTCATGAAAAAAATCATACATTAAGGTTTATCCATATTTCACATTACAGTTTTTTGCTTTCACTAACATATTTATAATTTTTTTGTGTGTTTTATGAGGGGGGAAGTGCAGGTATATTTAATTGCTGCACGAAACCATGGAAAATGGTCAATTGTATTCTAATTTTTGTGTACCATTAAAACAGCATTTCTATAAAATGTATGTTTTGCAGCTATCAAATTTTTCCAGTACTATAAAATTATTACATCATTTGTGTAAGAGTTTTGTTATAAATGACGTTTTCTCCACACTGTTGAACTGTTCTGTCCTTAACAGTGAAAGGGTTCAATGAATGTATTTAGCACAGACATAATATCACTGGATGATGCTGAATAATTATTATTATTCCTCTGGCAGTATATAACGATTAAATCCAATATTCACAAGAATATTTTACACCATGGAACATCTGGTTCCCTATGGTTATAAATTCCATATTTTATCCATAGTGTACACCTTTATATATACATATATTCCATTGTTTATAGGAAACTGACAAGCACTGCACAGTGACTTCTGTAGAAAAATATAGCTTTCAGTTATTAATTTATAGTATCTGTTGGAGCAGAAGTGTACAAATTGTTTAAGACATTTCTAATACATCGTATAAAATTATTTTGGACATTTCCATTGTCCAAGTTTTGGAAGTTCTAGTTCTGTCTTCAGATTAAGGAGATATGAAAGATATATTCTACTGAGTCCCTCAGTACAGCTAATTTAAACCATGGTATCATCATGTTTTATAATTTTCAGAAAGGTGAAATGCCATAACCCAAGTCTCCATAACATGGGGTGAACTGTATTGAATTGTCACCACCGTTTTGTCTCACTCTTTCACAGGATATATTAATAAAATGGAATAGGCACAAGTGAAATGGAGGGGTGGGATGAAATCAGAGTACATATGAAATGGAGAGGCATAGGGAATGTGACTAATACAAAAGAAAATCACAAGCTGAAGAATGTGTACATTTCTGCTCTATCCCTTATATAATCCTACATATACAAATCACATAACAAGCACTCAGAGTATAATATACATAAGGGAACTTTTGCAAAGCAAGCAGTATAACTGTATTCTCAGGAACAAATGATAATAAAAACAAGCTCCCCTTCCCTCCCCTCAAACAAAATAACACAGTTATATACCCCTGAAGTTATTTATGAGTCACCCTGCTAAGATGTTTGTTGCACTTTACAAAGCATCTGCTTTGAGTTTAGGAATACAGTGAATTTTTAGTAACTATGCTACAGTCTGGATACCCAGGGTTTGATTTCTATAAAAAACCATTAATTTTTCTTTTGCCGCTGCATCCATTCCAGAACTGGAGCCCACCCCAACACCTTACCCAATGAGTACCATGTGTTCAAACACAGTTGTGCTTGTATAAGAATTTACATATTTTATTTTGAGTATTGGAAACATTTAAAGTAAGTTTCTATCCTTGCTTAAGTTACAAAATATTTCAGTACCAAATACACACACTTGTATATATTAACTTATAAACACATAATGGCATACAGCATTAATGGCAAGTATGATGTACTTAGAGATAGAATTTAAGATAGTTTTTTTCATGGAAGTGTTTTCAGTAGTTTATCAACCAATGACATTAAATATACCTGATATTTAGATCTTGTGACATGAACAGGGTGTTTTATGTAAATGAATGATCATATCTTATTAGAACATAAAATCCACAGCCTCTTATGTAAAAAGTCTTTAAAAAATGAATACTGAATTTTAAATTATGACCCCTTCAGTAACAGAATTTAGAACTAAAATTTGGGCTTTGAAGACACTAATCAGTTGGTCCCTTATGAACAGCTTGTACTCCTACATAAATTTCTACTCCCTCAGGTTTAGAATTATGGTTCCCCAGCCTCAAAGTAGGGTCAAACATTCACTTGTTATTTGTGAAGGTCAAATAAAGAAATGTACTTTCTGAAATATTCACTACACTTTATGTCTTTTATTGCTCATCCTTATTTCATCATTTCAGGTGCAATGTACTCATGCTGACGTAGTCCAGTTCAGAACAGTTTCATTTATGAAGGGTGAAATTGTATGAATTTCTGTCTTACCATATATGACTCTGCATTTCAGTAAATAAAGCTCATACAGTAGATCAAAGGGGACAGAACTACACTTCCTGCTATGACCAAATTTAAAAAAAATTGAATTGGTCTAGATAGTGGTCCTTAGTTTTGGACTATAATGCCGACTTTTAAAAAACTGTTCTTTTATCCAACTTGCAGATGTATTCCCAAAGAGAAGAAAACTGAATGATTAAGTTAAGAAAACCAGTATGACTACTGAATCTTGCCTGAAATGTGATAAATCCAATAACTTGTGGCATTGTGTCCAAGCATCTGGTGAACCAGACTGCGGTGATCGTGCAGGGAATCACTGATATGTCAAACTGTCAGAAGACTATTGTCATATCAGTCATATGCTGATGTGGACAGTTTGCATGCTGTATGCACTACACCATTAAGATGTATGAAGGAATGGAAGTACAGCTCCACCATTCTTGACCTTGGCAATAGATGGAGTGAGTGGTCAGCTTCATGTCACTGCTGCTTTACCTTCAGGGAAAGGGCCCCCCAGTATCCATTCGACAGGATCTGGGTGGGCCCCAGAGTCGGTCTGAATGCTGTGGAGTAGAGACAAATTTCTTGCCCCTGCCAGGAATCGAACACCAGCTGTCCAGCACAAAGCCTGTCACTATACCGAATTAGTCATCCCGGCTCTTTCTATTATGACAAAAATTATATTTCCTCAATAGAACCATCAAATATGAGTATCATTCAATACAGAAATCAAATTCGCTTAGTTGGGGGTGAAGTCCAACTGGGTCTACTCGGCATGGCGGCCACTGATTGGCCTATTGTAGCCTGCCCCAGGTGATTATGATGATGAAGAATTTGGTGGAATGAAGATTGGCAGGAGAAACCGAAGTACACGGAGAAAACCCGCCCCAGTGTCACTTTGTCCACCACAAATCCCACTTGACCGGACCTGGGATCGAAACCAGGCTGCCACAGTGGGAAGCGTGCGACTAACCACTTGAGCTATGGTGTGGCCATACAGAAATCAAAGTATAAGCACAAACAGTGCATGAATATCTAAAAATAACTCTCTTGTTTGTGCCCTTGGTAGATGCTGTATGCATTTTTACAAGAGAAAAATGCAGTATGGTCAATGCAGGTACTTTTCAATTAAAACCATTATAAAGAGTTTTGTGAGATCTTCCCTCCCAATGAAAAAGAGAACAAAATACATCTCAATCATGACCAAGGTTAGCTTGGTCCCACTGAATCCAGTAGGGCAAATACTGGAACAGTGCTTCATAAGAAAAACTACTTTTCATTCTTCCCAATCCCCCCTGTTCACTGTATCATCCAATTTCATGATGCAGAACCAATCATGTATTTTTCATGAAAACAGATGGTGGCTGCATCTGAGAATAGTTTACATACAGTGTTAGCAAATCCAAGAATCAGCCACATTTGAAGCACGGAAAAAATACAAAAAAAGAAAACACTATTTTAAAAAAAGTTAACTTGCACATTATCTACCACTTCTCTCAATAATTAAAACTTGCAGTGGATATATCAAGGAAGCTATGGATTTATTCCATACTGCCAGATTTGCTGTGCACTCATTGTCCTGCACTGGTTAAAAAAGGGAAGATTCTTTTGCCCATTCTGCAAGTTTCTTCACAGCACTGTATTCAGCTGATTTCCAAAGAGCATTAGTGAGCTCTCCAAGTCTTGCATCACTTGCATTCACTCGTATCCACTCCAGCAAAATCTGATAAACCACCTGAAAGGGAGAATACTCAAACATAAACTGGACAAAGACAAAACCTGAGAACATCCCAGCTTTACAGAATTTAAATACAATATAACCTGTGTATAACAGAACCTGCATTAAATGGAAATTAAATAAATTGGCAGGGAGGGGGAACTGCATGCAATAAATGAAGAGGAAAAATCAAACAGAAACAATTCTCAATATGAGCTGTTGAAAGTGACCAGTTTGGCTGCAACCTGCAAAACATGTCTTACAAGGAAAGCATTCAAATACCTCTCTCATTCCCTCCTTATAACGGTCTTGCTCAATCTGCTCAAGCCTCCCATCAGTGAGATTAAGCATTCTTCCAACCTCTCTCCAGTGTTCTCCAACATGAGGTGCAACCAATCTTATATGTTCTCGGGTTACCTGTTGCTTGCTTTCTAACAGACCTGCAAACATGGTGACTGTCATTTATTACCACCTTCTCAATTAATCTAAAGTTTTCGACAGCTGCATCACTAACATAGAGGCTCTGTGCTATAGAGAAGCCTGATGAGCAGTAAACAGAAATAACTGTGCTCATGAGATGCAATTACATACTAATGAAGAGCTGGACACAACAAAATAATACCTTAAGAAAAAAAATGGATTAATGATGAAGTATGTTATACGTGCCATATTTTTCTGTGCTACAGCAATGTATGATTTATTTAAGACAGATACTAACTTCTTGTAATTCTGTTTTCCTTAGGGGCAGATTGGGCTTTCGCACTGGGAGAATTTTGTACAATTGTAAGGTTGAGATCTGGTCCTATGTGGATTCCATTAGAATGTGATATCTTGTACACAACAGTTGATGGTTCTGAAACACAGACATTCAAAATAACATTATGCAGTTGAATATTTTATTTGCAGAATATAAAAATATCACTTCAAATTTTCTACATAATACATATTACATTATCCTTGGTCAAAACGAAAACCACTGAATATGCCATTAAGAAGACCCAAGGAAGTCGAGAGAGAATGTAACTGAATGGGAGATATTACGTTCTGGTCTATGACGAAGACAGTTAATTGGGAAAAAAACACAAATACTATAAACATGAACATAAAAGCTCTACTAGTCCATGTCTTGCCAGAATGCAGGACAAAATCATAATACAAAGATAGCTGTGACAATTTTCAAACATCTAGGCATGAAATAACAATAAATTTAAATCTCAAATAATTTAAGTGCAGACTGAATTTGGGGAATGCTTGCCACCATTCAGTTTAGAATATTTTTTTTTTCTCACTCCTTATCTAAAAATGGATTAAAATACATAACTATAATACTCATTGTTTTGTCTGCATGTGAAACTTGGTTTACTATTCCAAGATAAGTACATAAGGCTATGGATTTCTGTGAACAGGGTGCTTAGAATTTTCAGACCTAAAGACAGTGGAAATAACTGAAAGTTGGAGAAACTTACACAGTGAAGGGCTTCACCACATGTTAGTGTGATGTGAACCTGAAGGCAACAAGATGACCCAGAAACCCAGGCATGGGGATCACTGGTGGGCTCTTGTAAAGACTAATAAATCTTTGGGTTACAAAAAGGTGGACAATTTGACTAGCTGAAAACCTACTAGCTTCTTAAGGACTCAGCTCTACTGAGTTTCATTAGGTTAACAATGTCATGCTCTCAATAAATGTTTTATCTCATGTAGACTCTGCAAGGAATTGCTTGATGCACAGTTCACTGACTCTGACTGTCAGTGCAAATAACTCTACCTATACAGATCACAGCTGTTTGACACTAGTAACATGAAAATGCTGATTGTGACACAAAAGAAAAACTAGAAAGAAAGAAATGAATTTGGCCAGCTAGTGTGAAATATGACTGCAAACTCCACATAAGATAAATCATTTTTTCAAGCCAGAACTGAATTTAATGTTATCATACACTGAGATACCAGTCCTAACACACAGATGAGAAATTTTGATTACAACAGCAGAGACCCGGTTATATGTTCCTCAATTTCAATTTTTCCTTCATTCAGTGTTAAATTTCAATGACTTGAAGTCAATAAACTCAGTACTAAATTAACTTGAAGATTTTGCTCAGTTTAGTGTACAAATCCACTGTCCTCACCCCCCAAAAATAACTAAACAGTGGTTTCACTGTACGGACATGAAGGAATGGTTGGAAGCAAAAAAACTGAAATGCTTGGACAAAAAATTCTCAAGTCCCAAGGTCATTTTCCCAAGTCTTATACAGACAGCTATGAGACTGACTCTGGGCCTACACAGTGAACTGAACATCCATTTCATCCGTAAGCATGGTCAAAATTCTCTTAAATTATTTCTATTAGAATTTAATATTTTCATATTCAGAAAAGGACAAATACATTATGTATGCAGTATGCATGACTAAGAAATTAAACTGTATCAGTACAGGAATTAATAAGAAATAATAGGATTTTGTATGTGAACCTGACACTTCTGTTACCAGAGAGATAGTTACGATACATACCCGAAGATTTCTTCTTTTCTTTCTTATTTTTTGGTGACTTTGGTACACTTCTAGGACTTGATTTTGTCTTTGTACCAAAAGCTGAATATTCTGGGGGTCTTAAGTATGCCTTATCATTATTTGCAGGGCTTGATTCCCTTTCTGCATCTACAACTTCTTTAGGAGGTAACAAAAGCGATGAATCATTTTCTTCATCATTTAAATCCCTTGACCTTGGAACATCCGGTACTGAGTCTGTCTTCAGATCTTCAGAGCTGTATATATCGTTCTTTTCACTTGACATGATTTCAACTTATAACTACAGAGGCTGAACGATGTTCCAAATCAAATGTCCAAACTCAAGCTGAACTACAGATACCACTGAAAATGAAATTACATTTAAGTGGTACAACATTATGGAATTAACTTATAACACAACATTCAACTCTCGCTCCCATGGAATATTTTTGAATTTGAAGAAAGTAAAAATTCTACGTTAAACTGAATGCAATCACATTTCAGACTTCATCCTTGTATCATTTACGTGAAGAATATGCAACTAGAGGGCACTGAAGCAATTATTAGGGCTTCCCCTTTGTAGTATCTGCCACATACTGAAATTTAAAAAGCATTTAATGGTTTTAAGATCATCTCTGACCACAATACAACTAAGTGGTAAACAAGGTAGCACTAGCAGTGCAAAAAGTCTAACTGAAGAGCTATCAAATATCCACAGGAAAGGTAAATCCGTTATATAGGCATCACTGAAAAACGTACATTTCCAGTCACCTCAGCACTGTGGTCACCACTCGTTTCATGTTTAGAAATCCCGGGCTTGAATATTAGCTAGAAAATATGTTGTCCTGATATTTTTCATGGTTAGTTCACGAATATAGGCCATGGATGCTTACGCCTACCCTTTCCTTAGCCTACAACATAATCATTCTGTACATCTCATCTGATAACACACAATAAAAACAGTTGACACTGTGTTGATAAACTAAAAATTAATCTTTGGCATTTGCATTACACATGCAATTATATTTGAATTAACAAACATGAGGGTAGGGCTGGTGGTCGTAATGACGTACAGTAGTACTTCCTTTCTTATAATCCCTCTTGTTCTCTACACTGAGCATAACTTGGGTACATATCTACTGCCTCTGGAACCAAATTTAAAGATTACAACAATATTTACCCTTACCTCTCAATAACAATTTGTAACTTATTACCAAATATGTCACTATACATATAACAATGGTACAGCTTTCACCCGTCAAATTACGGTAAATTATAATACCGTTACGATATTGGGTAATTATCTGTTGAAACGATAATATCGAGAAACTGCCATAACGAACTAACCAAGAAAAACCCTCTAAACTTGCTTCTCGGACAACGCATTATAAACCGGAAAAGACATTAGTTCTTCCTGTACCAATCACAACATATCTTCCCTTTGTAACCTCTGGCTGTCAACAGTGGCACTAACCTGAGAGTATGTGAAACCCCATCTGTGAAAAGGTGGGTTGAAAACAACTTGCTGATTTTACTGTGCTGCTGATGAATTCTGCCACCAGATGTCCCCGAGTCACTCTTCTGGACCTATAACAGCGTACTTTTATCGATATCTGACTCTTCGGTCGCCATGCTAAGATTCCCTGCATCGAAAGTTTAATCGATAGCAGAATTCATTGATCGAATGAATCATTCGACAGCAGAATGTAGGTATCGAATGATGAATAATAACCATACCATTGTTATCGGTATTTTTAGTACGTAGTTCGTATTGGGTTCGTTAGGAATCCCATTCGTTCCGCTTTTCCCGGAACAGTCCAGTTTTTTTCATATAATGTCTTGCTGTCCCGGATTTATTTCAAATGTCCCGCTTTTTAAGTGCACTTCTGTAACATTAATACCTATCGGTAATTACTCGGTGGCCGGTCACGGTAGCCGAGCGGTCTAAGGCATGTACTGTCTTCGCTCGCTTGGAAACCGGGATCATGGGTTCGAGTTCCACCCAGGGAATGGATGTTTAGGTTGTGTGTGTGTGCGTTTTTCTGTGTTTGTGTACAGGTAGAGGCCTTGCGACGAGCTGATCACCCGCCCAAGGAGTCCTACCGAACGTGTAAGATCTAGAAAAACCGAAATGAACGGAGAAGTTCATGGAGGTAGGCTTAGGCCCACTGGGGCTGTAGTGCAAAGGGGGGGAAAAATACTCGGTGACGGGGTCACGCAGTAGCGTAGTTGGTTGAGGCACTATGCTACAACCCGGAAGATCGCGGTTTCAAGTCCCGATGAGGTCATTGGATTTTTTTTTCAGTTAACCCAATTCTTCAATTCTTCCAGTTGCACTATGGCTCTGGGGTCGACTCAGGCTCTTAATAGAAATGAGTACTTACTTACTTACTTACTTACTCACGGAGCTGAGCCCTTCTGGAGGAGCCGCCAATTCAGCAGCTACTCAAGAATTTCCCAGCATTTTATGGAACCCGAAAGTTCATCACCGTGTTCACAAGAGCCCTACACTGGTCCCTATCCTGAGACAGATCTATCCAATCCATACCTTCCCATCCTAGCTCTCTAAGAACCATTCTAATATTGTCCGCCCCACTTACGCCTGTGTCTTCCCTGTGGTCTCTTTCTTTCTGGCTTTCCCACCAATATCCTATACGCATTCCTCGTCTCCCCCATTCGGGCTACATGACCTGCCCACCTCATCCTCGTTGACTTGATCATTCTAATTATACCTGGAGAAGAGTACAAGTTATGAAGCTCTCATTATGAAGCTTTCTCCAACCTCTTGTCACTTCATCTAGCTTCCGTCCAAATATTCTCAACACCGTTCTCAAACACCCTCAGTCTATGTTCCTCCCTTAATGTCAGAGACCCAGTTTCACACCCATACAGAACCACAGGCAAAATTATAGTTTTGTATATTCTAATTTTTATGTTTTACCTTCAGACCCGAATGATTTATGTGTAGTGGGTGATGAAAAAGAGTTTTATTGACGTTATATGTAGACAATCTGACAAGACCCAATGCATGTGTGGGAAATAAGTATAGTGGCACGTAACTTTTAACATTGCATCAGCATTTGCTTGTAAGTCAAACATTGACACAGCTGCTTATAGGACAAGTGTGTACACGCGTAAAACGAGGCCGCCTGATAGGAAAATTTTCAAGCGGAGGTTTTCCACAACAGATAGAGAATAGAGAATCTGACAGTCCCTACGGAGAATAAATTTAACAAATGTCTGAGACACCAAGACATTCTTATGTCCTATTAATATGATCGTCTGTTGATTCATTCAAGGACGCATTTTCGGCTGTGGCCATGAAACGACAAATGGTCGAATGATCTGTGAACGGCGAACTGAAATTAATGTGGAAGGAAGTGCAGTCCTCATTCCGTCAAGATCAGTCTTCGTGTTATTCCCCAGTATCTTTTTCGGTCCTTCGAAGAGATTTCATCACCAAAATTCTACATGCATTGTCTCTCTTCCCATTCTAGGAACACGGTCAGTCTGTCATAACCTAATAGATTTCACTATCCTAGTAATACTAGGTGACAGGGTCCAGTGGCGGACTCTAATGAACCTGAAAATGAACCTTCGACTTCCACATATGAGGGGATAGCTTACAGGAGTATTAGATCGTCAAAAAAGATTCTGTTTCATGTACTTAATTAATCAGTTACTATCAGTTGAGTGTCCCTGATTAGCAAAAATTATAAAATTAATTGTTACTTAGTTCTGTGGTACCCTAAATTTCTCACATATTTCATATTTATTTTGTCCAAATTGTTTCATTTATTTGAGCTGGGACAGCTCAGTCGGTATAGCGACTGGTTACGGGTTGGACGACAGAGGGGTCGGAGTTCGAGTGCCGGTAGGGTCAAGAATTTTCCCTTCACCACAGTGTCCAGACCGGCTTGGAGCCCACCCAGCCTCCTATCCAATGGGTACCGGGGGATCTTTCCCGGGGGGTAAAGCCGAGGTAAAGAAAATATGGATCTATACCTACACTTCACCATACGTCTTCATGGCGTAGTGCTTAATTAGTTAACCACATGGATAGCTTTTTTCCCTTTGGCGCTACAGCCCCAATTTTGGCCTTGGCCTACCTAAATGAAACTCTCTGTTTCACTTCGGTTTAATAGATCTTAGACATTCGGTAGGACTCCTTGGGCGGGTGATCAGCTCGTCTCAAGGCCTCTACCTGTACACAAACACAGGAAAAACGCACATACACAAACACCAAACATCCATTTCATGAGTGGGATTCGAACCAACGATTCCGGTTTCCGAGCGAGCGAAGACAGTGCATGCCTTAGACCGCTCGGTTACCGTGACCGGCCCTCAGATAGCTCTACCTTTACTTTATTTAATTGACATTGTTTTCGAAGTACCATTTTGTTACTAAAATAACACTGACTTCTTCCTCCGCATCAAGCCGCACGCTGAGCTGAAACCAAGCTCCATACTTGTGATGTAATAATGTACCGAGTGACAAGCGCTATGAGACATCTGTGGCGATGATAGACGGGCATCGAGAAAAGGTGGAATGCTAATTAGCAGGGAAGCATCGAAGACTCTCAGAGTAAAGCCTAATCCAGCGCCACTTCATCCACGACGCCATGGCACATTGTCACCGGGGGACTGAACACAAGACTATGAGGTGAGAATACATCGATAGCCAGACCGCATGGTCGATCTTGGAATTCTGACCTAATAATATGGTCGATTAAATCGATCTAGCAACATCAGTGGCATTCATACTGCAAGTGTTAATGATGCAGACATGTGTAAGTTGTAATATTTCGGAACAGTGAAAAGTGCGATGCTTCTTGTGCGTCGCATAATCTGCGCAGGGAGAGCGTGTTTACATGACTGCGAAGTTGACTGATATGATCCATTCTATAACAACTTGAACCAAGTCAAAGAATCAAGGAGGCTACTTATACAAAGCTGTTTAAAGATGTCTATCAGTCACGAAGGCCATCACTCGGTGGGCAAATGTGTTTTATGTAATTCTCAAGTCTAAAGATTCAGAAGCGAAAATTAGGCAAATGCTGATTACGAACCATGTCATGCATGAGATTTAGGATTCTCGTGCTGGTGACTATGAAGATTACGTTCTGAGATGATCAGTTTCGCAGATAGGTACCAATATTTCCGAGATACCTCCTGCCTCCTCCTCTGTCGTAAAAGTTAGGCTACAAGGCATCACATCCCAATAACAATACTCCTTACGTCACATCTGTCTAGCTAGTTATTAGTTATTTAGAGAGGGTGGGTTTCCCCATGCACCGCGACCAGTTTGATCTATTGTGCTTCCATCTATGATATTCTACCAGTCTCTATATCCTACCGGTACTGGTGCTTACCATCAGTCCCGCCCAGCCAGCGAGACCGGCTCTACTAGCTGAGAGTTATCTATAATGCTTCCCCCATCTACCAGAGGTATTAGAGACTGCTGTTGGGCGGGAAACGTCCGTAATTTTGGCTCAGTGACCTCCTTTGGAGATATGAGGTTCTTTTACGTGCCGTAAAGCTACGATACGGGATCCACGGCTTAAAGTCCCTCCCGGAGGACTCGTTCCCTGAATTTTTCCGCCCTTAAAAATTCGACGACCTCCGCCGGGTATTTGAACTCACATCTGTCTAGGATTTACAAATGTTTGTGTTTACTTTCCGCGGAGTGCAAGAATGAGAAGCATATAGGATAGACCGGGTTGGTTGGTCCGTCCGTCCGTCCGTATGTTTAATCGGATTTGCCGTTTGTGCAATAAAATAATTAATTAATTACGTAGCTTTGTTCTATTCAAAATTCACTAAATGGTGTGCCAGTCAGAATCTTGTTTTATAAATTTAGAGTAAAATGGAACTGTCTCTTAAGATGTTACAATAGTTACAATAATAAATACTTTATATAGATATACTTGTATCTTCAGTCAAATTTCACACAGAAAAATGTTGGAGGCAGATGCTGGGGGGGGGGGGGGGA